AAACGGGGGGGGGGGGGGGGGGGCTGAAAGCAAACTAATGATGAAAATGTCTCCTCCATGCCTGCGCCTTAATTAAATGCATGGAGAGGCTCGGGGAAGCACATCTGTTTTCAATCTGGAGCCCTTTGATGGCATCAAATGTTCTTTCCCCAGATCAGGGGGGATGGAAATTGTGGGCTGGCTGTGGCAGCTCGGAGCCCCGGCTCCAGCGGCCTTTCCTGGCCCGCGGCTCCGGCCCCTCGCCTGTCCTGGGGCCCTTCTGCGAGCACTCCGAGGGCCACTACCTGTCCTGTCCTGTCCCTGTCCCCGGGGGCCACCAGGGCCACCACACGCTTTGCTTGCCGGCCCGAGCAGCTCCGACAGCGTCTTCGGTTTTTTGCTTTTATTTTTCTCTTCCCTTCTGTTCTTTTTTCACTTTACTCCCCTTTTGGTCTGTTTCTCTCAGTTCTCTGCTGCACTTTTTCTTCCTCTTTTTTTTTTTTTTTTTCTTTTCTATTTTCCCCTCTTCCTTTCCGCTGTCCTGTTCGCACTTTCTCTTCCATTACCCTTGCTCACCTTTTCATCTGCATTTCTCATTTTCGCTATTTCTCTCTCCCCAGCCCCAGCGGCGCGTCCACCCACCCCACCCCACCCCACCCTCCCCTCCAGGTGCAGCTCCGGCTGACAAAGGGGGGGTCCTGCCCAGCACCGGGGGCTCCCCGGGGGCTCCCGCTGCCACGTCCCGCCGGGGCCGCCCTCCCGCGGGTGCCCGGAGCGGAGCGGAGCCGCCCCCGCCGTTTGAAGTGCGGGCAGGAGGGGAGGGGAGGGCAGCGCAGGGGCGGAGGGAGCGGAGCCGGCGGCAGCGGGGGCGGAGAGGACGGGGCGCACCCGCCCCAGCGGCCCCACAGCCGCCCTGCGCCTCTCGGCCGGCGGCAGCTCCCGGCGCCCCGAGCCGGCCGCCGCCTCTCCCCTCCGGCATGTTTTAAGCCCGGCCCTACCCGCTCCCCTTCGGGCTTCCCTAGCCGCCGCCGTCGGGTCCCGTTCTCCCCCGCTCCTCTCCTTGCGCACCCCCCACCCCCCCTCGCAGGGCCGGCGGCTGGGGGGCCGGGGGGCGGTGGGCGCCCGCGGGGGGCGAGGGCAGAAAAGCCCCGCTCGGCACCATGGCGTCCAGCTATGCCCACGCCATGGAGAGGCAGGCCCTGCTGCCCGCCCGCCTCGACGGCCCCGCCGGCCTGGACAATTTACAAGCCAAGAAGAACTTCTCCGTGAGTCACCTGCTGGACCTGGAGGAGGCGGGCGACATGGTGGCCGCCCAGGCGGAGGAGGGAGGCGGCGAGCCCGGCCGGAGCTTGTTGGAGTCCCCCGGGCTGACCAGCGGCAGCGACACCCCGCAGCAGGACAGTAAGTGCGGGGACATCCTCCCCTTCCATCTCTGGCCGGCTCCGAGGGGGGCTCCAGCGGCGCTTAGCCCGGCTTCCCCCGCTCCCCGAGCCGCCCTTCCCGGCCGTGCGGGGAGCCCGGCGGGGTCGGCACCCACCCTTGTTTAACCCCAGCCAGCTGCCCTTCGCCCGTCGGGTCCCGTGCCGTGGCTCCTGCACCCTGTGGGGAAGCGGAGAACATCCCGGGGAGCATCGGCCCCCTCCTCCAAGGGCCCGGCCGGGCTGAGAGCGGCGCTTGGCTGGACGGGGCGAGGCGCTGAGCCTCCCTCCATCCCTTCATCCATCCCCACCATCCATCCCCACCATCCCACCATCCATCCCATCCGTCCCCTCCATCCCCACCATCCGTCCCCTCCATCCCCACCATCCGTCCCCTCCATCCCACCATCCATCCCCTCCATCCCACCATCCATCCCCTCCATCCCACCATCCATCCCCTCCATCCCACTATCCATCCCCTCCATCCGCCCGTCCCTCCGGCCCTGCGCCGTGCTTTTGCGGGACTCAGGGATGGGGATGGGCTCCGGCATTGTGCGATGCCCCTGCCGGGAGCGTCGGGGCTCGCAAACCTCCCGAGGGTGCGTGCGAGGCTCCCGAGCGGAGCCGCAGATTCCCTCCCCGCCGGGCCCCGGTTCTCCCTGACTCCGACCCGGACAGGGGGGCAGGACAGGGGGGCAGAGCCGACTCTGAAGTGCCCGTCCCGAAGAGTCCGAGCTCGGCATCTCGGGTAACCGTGGAGCAGCAGCCCGGCGGGATGGGGCGGCGTTTTCCAAGCGCAGCGTGTTGTTTTCCAAGGGCAGCGCTGTCAGGGAGGCTGATGGGGGTGTGCAGGGTCAGTAACCCCCCTTCACCCCGCTCTCTGTTAAAATAATCACATCCCCTGCCGCAGGGACTGCCCGGGAGCTCCGTGCGGGTCCGGGCTGGCCGCGGCTGCGGACACGGGCTCGCTTCCGAGGGAGCTTCCCGGCGAAAAACGGGGAAAAAACACCAAAACGGAACGAGAAGCGAACGAAAACGCCAATTGCAATTTTCGTTCGCTTTTCGATTTTTTTTTGTTGGTTTTTTTGTTGTTGTTTTTTTCCCCCGAGGGGAGCCGCCTCCGACCCTCTTTTCCCCCATGGATCCGACGTGATTTTTTCGGTATTCCGAAGGAAACCGAGCTGGGGAAGAGGGAAACCTTCCCAAAAGCAGCCGCTCCTTGCGGGAGCGCCCGTGGCATCCCCGAGCCCGGCCGGATGCGTTCCCGGCGGGGAGCATCCTCCAGGAGCGGCTCCTCTGCCCCCCGAGAGCCGCACCGACCGCCGCTGGGACACGGCTAAAAAATATTTCCCTTCCCAGGACCCGAAAAAGTGCAATTTCTACCTCTAAAAGTGTGTATTTTAGTGGGGAAGGCAGCGATTGCGGCTGCCCCCGATTCAGCTCTTTGTGCCGCTGGAGAATCCCCGAGATATCAAAAGCAGACAAGTTTGTTTTTCTATTTTATTTCTGCTCTGTACCTAATTTAGTTTATCATATTTAATTTGGATTTATTCCTGATTTACTCCGATTTACTCCTGATTTTACCCTTTGCCAACTGTGAGCTTGAGCAGCGTGAAAAAGGGGAAAACTGCATTTCACCAACACTCACCTTGCTTTTAGAACATGTAAAGAACCCCCCAAAAAAGCAGTTCCAGGGCTTGTTTTGTAGCCAGCACTACTGAGCAGGGACCAAACTACAGCTTCAAAGGATTTATGAATTATATAAATCTATAAAAGTTTTAATACCGTTGCGGTGAATTAGAAAGTTTTAGAAGTATTCTAAAGTAAGCAACGACAAAGAAAAGAAAGGAGGAGGAATAAATTCTCCCAGGTTTATTGGGCAGAACTGGCATCAGGGTTTTCTGACTCTCTCATGGATGCATTTAGCACGTCCCTGGAGGCTCCGTGCCTCAGTTTCCCTACCTGCTGCATGTGTTCTGTGAAGTGCTCTGCAATCCAGGCAGGAAGAGGACTGGAGTTAGGAAATGCAACAGAGGTATGAGCTCTTTTCTCGGTGAAAAATGAGAACTGGTTCGGTGGAAAAGCTAACACGGGGCTCAGTTACTCTCCGTGTTTTTAAGTGAGAAAAGGGAAAAGCCGTTCGAAGAAATCGTGGATTTCTCAAGAATACTAAAAATGTTCTTCCAACCTGAAGGAAAAACAGCTGATCTGCCACTGATTTCTGTCCCAGACTGAAGTGAAAAACCAAATTATTTGTGCTGTTTTTGTAAACAGAAATTAAGAGTAGTTTGCCACAGAAATGACAAAAGGTTTTATTTGGACGTTTGAAATTGAAGGAATTATTTCACCACTATTTTATTTGAGAGAGGTTCAGGGTAAAACATTTCTCTTATTAAAAAGAAGAAAACATTCCTGGGAGTAGCTGTGATTCTAATATTTACAGGGAGAGCTGTCTGTGGGTTAAGGAGCTGTCATTCTCACCAACTCCAACTCCTGCCTCTGAACACCTTCCTCTAAAAGCTGATAAACATCAGGGCAAACCTCCCTGCCTCTGCTGCTTAGCTGGGAAGGCTTTGCAATCCCAGTTTCCAATTTGTCACAAAATAACCTGTTAATGATAGCACGATTGTCACTAACCCTGGCTAAAGCTGGGATGGAAATGCAGTCCCAGCTCAGCTGAGGGGATCCCCCAAGTTTCCTAGAAAAGGCAGTGAGCTCCTATTGCTTTTGTGCCCTTTGAGGGTGACAGAGACCTGTCAGTTGCCTGTGGGCTCCCAGAGTTTGTGGCTCTGGGGTAATTCTCAATTGTTTGGGTTTTTTTAGATTTTTGCCTTCTGCTTTTTCTTTTATTTTTATTTTTTTTCTTGTTGTTGGTTGGTTTGTTTGAAACTCACTGTTGATGGCTCATAAAATGGTGTGGAGAAAGCATGAACAGCAAAAGAAAAATTGTTACGCTGGGATTTGTTTTGTAAGGAGTGAATAAACCGTGCTGCAGTCCATTACGTGCTCAAGTTCTGTGTTTTGGGGTTATTGCTGTCCTTTAATCTCTCTTCAGTATAAAAGTACTGGCAGTCAGGGGGCTGACAGATTCTATCAGGCTGATCCACAATTAAAGCTGGCCACAGGTTGCCTGAGTCCCCCCATGATTTTTTTTTCTGTCCCAGTGAGCATTGTGACCCCTCAGCAGTGCTGCTGCTGCTTCTCCAGGAAATCCCAGAAACCCTGCTGGGACAAGGTGAGTGATTTCCTCTGCTCAGGCAGGTCAAGCAGAGCTTCAGTGTGGCTTCAGCCCCTCTTCTCTGGCAGCAGGTTGAGGAAGAGCTTTTTCTCACTGTTTGGTGATGGGATTTTGCAGAGATCAGAAATAGGTGAATTTCAAGAAAGGACTGACAAATTCAGGGAGGGTTGAGTTTGGCTTCTCACCGCAGCAGGGTTTGGAGGCAGCCTCCAAATACAGACTGGAAGGATGAGCTGGGGCAGAGATCTCTCCCTTGCTTCCTGGGCTTAAACCCTCTCTGACTGCTGCTCCTGGCTGTCTGAAACAGGATCCTGAGCTGCAGGGCTTTGCTCTGCTCCCACATGGCTGCTGATTTTGCCTTAATTGCCTCATTCTAATCAGAACGAGTGAGGTTGCTGCGGGAGTAAAAGAGTGTGTCTGAGTACTGAATTGTCTGTGCCTCCCCATCCTTCACAAAACAAAAATATGCCTTCGTGAAAAGAGGTGGAAAAGCTCTGTCACTCCTTGGAAATGTGGAAAGGAGTTCCTTGGGCTGCTGGGTTGCTGAGGATGAAGGCGAGAAGAAGCGCCTGGGACAACTGCAGGGTTTTCTTCGTAAACCTCTGCTTTATCCTGGAGTATTAAGCATTTCTTTTGTTAGTAAATCACAGCCTTTATTCCCAGAAGATGCTGAGTCTGTAGACAGGGGATGTACAACCAATAGATAGAGGAGGGAAAAGCTGATTAAACCTAGGAGTTTTCTTCTTGTCTTGTCCTGCTGATGGAAAAAGAATCTTCGGGCAGCAGCTGGTGCCGGTGTCCACAGGTTACACCGGGGTGAGCCGGGGAGTCCGGCCAGTGCCTCAATCCCCACAGACAGCAACAAATCTCCCTCAAGATAAACTCTCCAGAGTTCTCCTCTTCCAGAAACCGATGCAGGAAAAGCGAGGATCAGATCATTATTGATTTTTAAAGCGCTTGTTTTAAAATATCCGCGTGAAAAGCGGGGTTCTTTGTCGGGAAAATCTTTGCGCGTGCCGGTTCTGCTGCGCGTATCCTCGAGGCTCTGAGGAGAGTTCGCTTGACTAAAGGTTGAGCAACAGGTAACTAACACCAAGGAATTGTTAGGAGTTGGATTAACCCCTTTCCATTTATGTTCCTGGGGTGTATCTGTCTGATTTTTGGCCTCAGGCTGGTAGATGCGTGGTTACTGCAGCGAGTATCGCCGTGTCAGATATTTTCCTTGCATCCCTGAATCCTGCAGTTTGAAGTGGGAAAATGTTTTGTGTTTGTTCTGTAAATTTCTGCAGCTTCTGGACAAAGACAGGAGATGGGAATGTGGCTCTGCCACATATCTGGAGTCTTAAAAAGGCACAAAGAAATAAATGAAAGTGGTCAAGGTGCTGTTATTAGCAAAGGAAAAAGAGCCATGTGAATTTAGAGGAGGGAGCTGGCTCTGTTTGTGAGTGCTTTTCCTTTTGATGGGTGAGAAGAAACTTCTATTTGTTTGTGAATTTCACTTTTTTGATCAGAATCAGTTTTGCTTCCTGGTTCTCATGGTCTCATAATTTGCTGATGGTATTTGTGTTTTCAATCCATCCACTCAGAGCTTCCAACTTTTTAATTTGAAAAAGATTTCGCCGAAGGTTTTTACGTTCCCTCCTTCCCCCCTTAATGTAATGAAAACATTTCCATGAAAATTAGATTTTGAAATCTCTCATAAAACTGAAAGGTTTGGTTTAAACTGCTCGAACTCTTTTAATGAA